AAAAAACTACTAACTGTAAGAAACACGGAAAACTTTCTTTTAGAAAGAAAAATCTACAACGTATTTTATTATTTACACTAACGAGAAAAATAGACAATTTACAGACAGACTATTGCACGATTTGCACAGACAGACTGACTCGCTTTTGTTGCTCGCCTCTTATTTATATAATATGTACCTACATAGATGTTTCGGGAAAGTTCTCGGTTATTCCAAACAAAACAAAAGTGAATATGTTTATAAATGTGAATATGTTTATATATCTTCCGCGGCTCGAGAAATTTTCCGAATGCTCTCGAAAGAAATAGAAAATTCCTTACATAACGTGAACTAATTTGTAACACCGCAAATAATAGGGGCGAATGACCTGTTAACCAGTGTTATTTGTGGATGAACCGTAATTTTGACATTTCCGACTCAATCTGCAAAGTAAAACGTGCAAAAGTTTTTCAGCAAGTATTCAATTGTTACAATCGTGGTTAAAATATGTCAAAATTTTAGAGTAAATCGTTTAATTTACTCATTTGCATATTAGTTCTATGGTTTCATATCATATTTGCGAACATTTCAAAAATACAAAATGTGACATTTTAATGGGTTTTAATGCCATGTTGCTAATTCCGAATACCGAAGATGAATGTAACTTGGAATATTCCAAAGCATAGCGATGCTATTGTTTCAACAAACAAACAAAAAAAGAGGGAAGGATTGAGTGCAATGTTTCATGTATGAAATGTGGGCACACTGTGAATGTATTGGTTATGACTCCGAAAATTACATCTGTGACTACTGCAAGTAAATTTTAAAACTTAGGATTGATATTTACCTAAGATGATTGTTCCAATTCTGTGACTTTTGTCCCTGATTAGATCATAAGAGAAAATAATTTTATTATCTAATTGTTTTATAAATTTTATACAGTGAAGGTCAATTGGAATACCGCTATTCCAAATTACCTGTACCGTAACAAAATCGTTACTTTATGTCATTTTTCAATTAGACCAAAGTTTCAGATACTTTTTGTTTTTCATTATTACTGAGAGTCTGAAATATAAAAGTTTATTAGTTTCCCTATGACATTGCGAGGTTTCATTTGTTCCCAACCTCTGGCGTAATTTTCTATTCATCTTAAATAAACTGATATTCCTCTACATACAGATGTAAATTCGCTAAGTACAAGGGTTAAAGTCATTAAGGGTTTTTCTAAACGAGACATACTATATTTTTTTTAATATAATGATAAATCGAAAAGAGCCGCATTTAACGATCTCATGTGTTCATGATTTTATTGGAAAATACAACAACGAAACGTAAATGAACATTTGATGAGTGATGAACGTGAGCATGTCGCACTGATTGCGTGATTTTAAAAGTGTCACTTTAGAAATGCTTATGGCCGTATAAGGTGGCATCAAGAGGCGTATTCAACACGTTCAAGACGGCAGCGAAATTAACGAAACGCTCACTGCTGCCAGTATTTCTTATGACCGAAATGTGCACTCTAATTAATACTTAATTTTTCAGTATGTAACCTGAAAACGTGGTGATTGATCGTTGAATCACACTCTTTATTCAATCTTTTTTGCCATCATTTTAAATGACACAGCGGTGGGTCATATTGGCAAATAAGAGCGTTGATGACCCACAGATGAGTCCTGAACTTGTTAAACATGTACAGTAAATTCTCTACAAGTGTCAGTCAGTTTGGATTCTACAAGTGTCAGTATAGATGGTCCTACGCCTAGGCTGCGTTATTGCTGCGCCTATGTTATCTCGCTCGCTGTCAGTCAAGCGTGTAACGCTACACCACTCGGTTTCTTTTACGAGATTTCACGGCTCGACAATTTGTAATAGAAAAATATAATTTCTTTAATTTTCCTTTTTTTCATCTGAAATTTTGTTTAACATGTTGGTGAGATTTTTCTGATGAAAATGATATCAAACACGATATAATTTGAACAACATTTACTTATTCACTGTCACGCCAGACAGTGAACGTGTTAATAAGTAAATTGTGTAGGATTTGAGCGCTCTGCCGTTGCACTCGCGTCCTTGGATTATTGCACTCTAATGTGCCGTCTACAGTGACTCGAAGGACCACCCAGAAGAGTTTCTACCTTTCAGGGACTGTATTATTTCTCTGGGCCTAGCCTGTTTGCTGGGCTTGCAGAGTTAGCACTTCGCTCTATCGTTGCTCAGAGATAACTGTTTTCGCAAGTCGATGACGTTCGTCGACTTGCCGCTGCTAATGCTAATTCCTTCCGATTGGCTGTTTTCCTGTTTCTCGAAAACACCAATCGGCGTGTAGAAGATGCATCGCGACATCCTTCTCTTGCGCCCTTAACGCGCGTTTCCTTAGAGAGGAGGTGGCGATGTCCTTTGTCAAATTGACGAGTGTCTGGCAACAGCGCGGGAATTCCTCCGAGTTCGTCACCTCGGTCCCTTGACCGTTACACGCTGACTCGTGACTCACCCCTTCGGAAGACCCATTTTTTATGGCAGGGCTAGGTTATTGAGGACGAGGGAAAGCGCCTTAGAGGCCAGAGGGTTGTAAACCCAACTTTCTCTCGCCGGGACGTAATTTTTACTAAAATTACATGCTGCCAATTATCAAAGTCCCATTCTCAAAAATAACCGTTTCGGCACGTCCGTGCCAAAAACCGCTGCGCAGACATAAATGTTGTTCAAATTATGTCGTGTTTGATGTCATTTTCATCAGAAAAATCTCATCAATATGTTAAGAAAAATTTCGGGATAAAAAAACGTAAAATTAAAAAAGTTGGTATTTAAATCGCTTGGTTGCCTCGACTCACGTTTCATCCTTATCTTTTATTCGCTGTCCTTGTCTACGTTCGGCAAACTACAAAGGCGGGCGCGAGGCTCGAAAACGTAGTCCCTGACTCTACAAGTGTCAGGTTTAGGTTCCTTGCGGACTGACATTTGCGGAGAATTTACTGTATTGATGTTCAGGGCAATATTTTCAAGCACTTGCAGAGACACTATTTCACCGAATGCCTGTTTTCTGATATTTGACGATCGCTGCTCTGTATCGTAGCGATCAATATGATGTCTAATTGTAAGTATGTTACTTCCTCAAATAGAATGTTCATTTACGTTTCGTCACTGTATTTTCTAATAAAATCATACAACATATAAGGTTGTTGACGCTCTATCATTTTTTATAAAAAAAATATACTACATGTAATTTAAAAATTGCACTTAGTGCTCCCCTCCATCTCATTTAATCCTCCAAAAGCAGGTTTCCCCATTTAACGTAGTTTCCAAAGTATTAGCATTTACAGATTAAAATAGGTCACCCTGTGTACAGATTAAGGTATAAAATACAGATAAATTAAAATTTTTATTTTCGGTATTACAACAAAAATTTTTACATTCCTACTTTTCTCCGATTTTGTACAAATTTTAAATTCTTAAAAAATATAAAATTTTCAATAATTTATAGTACTTTAGGAAATTAGAATAAAGTTGCCTAATATGAGACCTATTTCTTAAAAACACGACTAAGAACACTTTTATTAAAATTCGATACAGGTTTTAAAGTAAGATATGTATTTTTTTGAAATCTACTGGAAAGTGCAGTAAAAAGAAATTAGGTTCCTTCATAATAAAGTAAAAACAAAAATTATATAAACTCACAGATTCAAAAAATGGATTCCTAATACGAGACTCAGTTTGTTTATTTCCTGAAACTTATTTTTTCTGTCTTTTTTCACACATTGGACATATAAAATTTATTTCTTCTATTCTTTCTTTAGTACAGTAGTCTTTGTGGGTTCACCGGTAACATTTTATACACTAAAACAAAATTGGGTATCTAATATGAAACCCTTCTTATAACAGAAACTTCCAAGTGTCTCATATTCGGAAACAATAACATGATAACTATTAAACAGCTTCGAGGTTGTCTTCGTTATTTAATGATACACAACTAGTGAGCATTAAACTCCATTGCATGCACTATACAACAGTATTTATGAAAATGATTATACACTTATGTACTATTTTGAAGGTATCTGTAATTTAATCGAACCACTTCAAAAACTTACTGCAACGTATTTCACAGATATACTTGCTCAAGACGTTTAATCGTTTTTAATAAAATTTGATATTTAATTAGATAATTAACACGGATAATTACGAAACAAAACAGCATGGCTACGACATTCAAGAGTTCTGTAACGGAGGTAAGTTAGGACCTCATATTATTACATCTTATATCGTCAAAATTAATACTGTAGATATAACGGTCCCACGTGGCGTAACTTACTGTTACAACACAATTAATTGAGGTTTTCCACATTTTCAATCGTCCCACTATTAAGCATAAAATATATCATATTCGTATGTTGTAAGAACCAAAATAAAGTAACTGGTTATAATTTTTCACTATGGATTAGAGAGGTTCAATTTCTGTTTGAGATATGAAGCAAGTTAACAGGTTACACAAGCGAGTTTCCTATATTTGGTTTATTTTCGACTCATTCTCAGCAGACCTTAAGTATTTAGGTGAGCCGAGGATTGCAGTAGGGTAAAATTATATTGCCATAATTTTATTGGCGATTTGTTTCTACAAACAAATATCGGCAGGGAAAATAGAAGAAAAGTAGAATCCATAGGTTCGAAGATTGGCGCGGTGGTATGATACACGCGGCGAGGCGAGACGAGGCGACGCAGCTCGTGCCCGTGGCGAATTTCCTCGAATGGAGGTAAAGTTTGATTTTGCGGAGGGCGCACGCCCCGCTTCCAGCTGCACAACCGACTGGCCTTTAAGCAGTCACGAACGAGTCTTCGTTCGTTACAGCCGTAGGAAACGCGACTATTCCGTCTTCCAACTACCTCCACTCTTTTTTTCCTCGTTTCCTGTACTTATCAGCGGTAAAAGGCAACCATCTCCGACGCTCTATTCGTGACACCAGTTACGCGTGTGTTTCTTTCGCCTGTCGGCGAGCCAGTGCTTCGTTTTCCGTTTCGTGTTCCCTGACGGTTTAACGCCGTGGAGATGTTGCTGGGAGTAGAGGACAAGGACTACTTCACGTAAGTCTATAGCAAGTACACACTTGTCAAAGGACGTGATTAAGTCGGAAAATAAGGGAAGGCTTAGTTTTAACTCTATTTCACTAGTAAACGTAAAGGGCTGTAGTTCTGTTGAGGGATTTCTATCTTTGACATACCTGAAATAAACAATTTATCGTTGGTGGATTTAGGCGAGTTTATTGAATTGACTCGGTGGAACAATGATCTGGATATTTGGGACAGGCCTGTGGATTAGGATGCAGAATTACACCAAGTGCGGTGACAGATATGTGAATCGGTGATTAATCGTTTATTATTAAATTGATCTAACAGTTCCAAGGATATTTAACGTCTTTTGATAGATCCGTCTGTGGATGGCTCCATCAGATTCAAATTTCAAAATGTCGAGAATTCGTTGCTGATTTTCACAGATTGAAATTTCCTACATTCCACCTCTATGCTTTTGCATGTAAAGTGGTGACACTTAGCTAATATTAACGCACACTTTTCACGTGCAAAGATAATTGAAAACGTACAATCGTACTGTTTAATCGGATAATGCATTTGCTAAGTGAAAAGTGCGTACAACGTGAAACGAATGATTGTGTTAGCTATTAATCGAGTTGCTAAGTGCGCATCTTATTGTCGATGCAACATGTTCTTCCCTTTAAATTGCATATTGATCATTATAAAATATCCACGTATATGCGTTGCACAAGATCATTACTTTCTGGTCCTGCGTGATGTATCTTGAATAAAATCGAGATTGAATACCTAAAGTAAATATTCCTCATTTTTCACTTTAAAGGATATTCTAACTGCATTGAAATTGTGAACCTGAGAATACAAGGTGTAACGTTTGCAGCCGTGATATTGAATATTGTCTCGAAATACAACAAACTTGCAGAAGTGTAGCAATTAATATAATGAAAGTTTTAGAATTTAATCTAGTTAGTATTGCAATGCTTTGTCGTAGTATAGTACAACAAATTATTAATTGAATATTGCTAAATAATTTGAAAGAACATTTTCAATATTCAATTAATTAATTCTCATCTGAAGATAGATCGTACTTGATAGAATGTCAGATCAATATTAATCGACTTTAAATTGCTTCTACCATATTAGGATCATTGTCACTGTCGGCGCAGAAATATACAGGGGCTATACATATCGTATTATTACAAGTAGAATTCAAATAAAGACGGCAAAATAAATAGCAATATTTTATTGCTAGAATTTAATATATATTATTTTTTAATTGCTTATAATCTTTTGGTGACCATTTGTCAAAACTGTTTTCCTTTCGTATTTGAATGTTTCAAAATTTTGAATTTACTGTAGCAAAGAAACATTTTACATTCTGAAAGTTACTTTATAAAGGCGATGCAGGAAATTGCTGTACATATATGTGCTAGAAGTGATTGAAAATGAAGCACAGTTATTTCAATAAAAATTTCGAATACAAATTCTCTTTTCATAATAAATACTGTATTTACATCAGTATACAATTATAACTTCGTTTTATTAAATGTTTCAAATGAAAATAAAATAAACTTCTCGCAAGGAATGTATAAAAATGTTATATTTGGAAAACGTAATAATATGAAATTTACGTATGATGACCTTAAAATGATCTTAAACAGTAAAATATCAGTATTGAATTATTTCTCAATTTTTGACTGAATTTAATTTGCTCTAATATTCGTTCCCCGCATTTTAGCCATTTCTATTGCTTGTCAACAAGTCAGATTATGAACTCAACAACTTGTCATGATGTCATAGATCGGTGAACTCGTCTCAATATCGGCTAGAATGGCACATTTTAAGAAACAAATGTTAATAAGCCAACAAATTTCGATGATTTTGGAATGACCTTCCATTTTGGAATGGCTTTTTTTATTATCAGCAGATGCAGGTCCTTATCACGTTCAGGACAGCAGCGAAATTCATGAAACACTCGCTTATGACTGGATCGTTCGATTTTACTGGTGTTTATTACCGTTAATACTTAATTTTTCTCAGTTTATAATCTTTTGGAATTTTTTCATAGAATATTATGGAATAATGTGGTCGCCGGCGGGTCACATCGTCCTCAACGTGTTAAACCATATGGACACCTTTCGCAGTCATTTTTTCTTACTTTCGATAGCAGTGGAAATAATTTAGATGTTCATTATAAATGGGACACCCTGTAAATTAAATGCCGACATATATATGTATAAGGTGTAAACAAATTAGGCATGAAAAAAAAACTATTGTTTATTTTCAGACAATGATCTCAGAGTGCAAAAGAAGCGAAAGGATGGCTATTGTATACATAATAACTGTAACAACCTCTGAAAACACTTCAATACTCGGATATATGAAAATCCTATAAAGCAATACACTTGCAAAAAAGAGAAACAGCGATACCTAATAAAAATTGCTTAAAACTTGCTTTCGAAAAGGAGTGCTCACACATTCCACCCAATATCACACACCAACTTTTGCAATCAATTCCGAAGGGGCTATAAATATTAAAAAGACTCTCTAACTGATAAGTGAGATAAAGCACGAAGACTGTAACTGTACAAATACTTTCTTCATTACGAAATTTTTTTTTTTTTTTGTATCATTCTTTAGTGATAAATTGTCGATATTTCCAAACGAGCATATTGCTCCTGCCTGCCATAAAACATTAAAAGAAGTACATTGGACTAATATATAATATTCCTTATACAATGTTATCACAAAAAACTGGAATTTTGAAAACTTCGATGTCACACTTTATCGACTACCGTTTGTCCACTTTGCGACAATAACAAAGTAACTGGAGACGTACAGACGTTGGAAATTGACGTTAGATGGTAGAAACAGTTTTTTGCAATTTATTATATTGTTAAATTTTTATAATCTCTACTATTAAATGTAAATGCATCAGATTACATTCTTTCTCATTTTTCATATTAAATAATTATGATAGCGTTTAAACGGGGTTTAACAATTATAAGAAGAAAATGATAATACCTTATAAAAGATAAATACATAAAATGGCAAATGGATTTTATTTTTTTATGATTTGTGATTTGATTTCTCTTTTCTCGCATCTCTATCAAAACTGTTGGCAACTAGTTTATAAAGACTAAAATTTAACATACCAGTACGTTGCATAATAACACACGTAACATCCCAACCATAGGTAGCTATTATTGTTGAGGTTTCCGAGTGTAATCTGTGTCCTTATGAAGAAAGTATTCTGACGTTTTGCAAACATTGCAGCTCATTTTATCAGGGTTCGAGTAATATGTTGATAGTTATACACATGTACTATAGATACGATATTCGCGCTGCATTTCTATTACAGAAATTGTCCCATAAGAAATTCGAAAACCAATCAATTTCTGTAATTAAACTTAATTAGATTAGTCCGTGTAATTTTAGAGTAACTGGAAAACGGTTCGACGAAATCCTGTTTAATAGTCCACTGCTTTTAAATATTGTTCGTTGCTAGTCCGATTTCCTCTCATTTACACGTTGTTAAAGAAACAAATCTCTGTAAATGTAAAAACCACTTAGTTGGAATTTCAGTTAATCAGGAAAATGAATCAAATTAAAGCACCTTATAAAGCCTTTTATTTTCATCATATTTTCTCTGAAACATTTAGCAATTGTATGCAATTACCGAATGTTACATTTTTACTGTAACATACATTACATTTCGGTAACGACATTTGCATTAAATGAGGTTTCGATTGTATAAAACTGATCTCAATTGTTTCATTATTTCCCGATAGCCAAGCTGTTTTTGTCTTTATCTTTTTCCTGAATATTGGTTATCAGCCACGAGCATTTTTAGACACTATACATCACATACACTGATTTTATGTATTATCTAAAATGGATTTAAGGATAGAAAGAAATTGTCATGGAAGTCGATGACATGTGTGTATTCTAGAGTACACTTGTTGTTGTTCAAATTAAGAATAATATCTAAGTAATAAGTGTTAACTTTTTTAAACGCAGAATTATCATTTCTTGATTTACTTCAGCAAAATATTTTACAAAATTTTTAGCTCATATGAAATCTAACGAATAATTAAGAAGGATGTTAAATGTTATATTATACTGTGATAAAAGAATATGTAAACGTTTCTATTAGGTTCCTGCTAGCTTTTCTCGGAATATCACTAAAAATAAAAATTACATAAATAAACAGACACGTAAATAAAGAGGAAAGATGATGTTATAAATGACACTTCAAGTGTACATAATTTTTGTAAATCATTTTGCGTGCCTCGCAATCAGTAACACAAAATTTCTGAAGGCAATCTTCGTATTTGTAGAATTATCCGCGATCACACCAAATTGTGTGCTTATTGTGCTTTTCTAACAACGTATTTTAGATAATTTCTAATAATAAAGTGGGGGCATATCGACTAAATTGCGGCAAAGCAGCGAGAGTAAGGCGATGTTGAAATAATAAGGGACATTCAGGGCTCTCTCTTCATATACCGTGCCCTCAGAGGAAGATGATGAACGAAATTAAAAAAAGGCTTACCCGTTTCTTCTATGTAGCCCTTGATTCTCAACAGACCGATATCCATCGAGGGTCGTTCTATCCGGTCTATCGATTTTTCTTGAAATCCGTTGTTGACCTTAATAGCTGACTGTCCTTGCTATCTCAGTCCAGCTTGTCTTCAACGACCAAGATCTGCTTAAACGCATCGGCCACGAAAGTTGCTCGCAAGCATAACGCGCTTTCATCTACTAACCTGTGAAAAATTCTAAACGCATACAGTAGAATATCGTACTTTGAGACTTTCAAATATTTCGTGCATTGTTTGTAGGTTACTCCAAATTTTTAGAAACTAAAGATAATAGATAATGATAAAGTTTAATGCTGTTTTCTCTCGTAATATAATTTTGTTATTTCGGCAATATTTATTACAATAAATAAAAGTATGATAAGTTTTACAGTTTGTACAAGAAAGATTTGCACACGTCCATTCTTTTGTAATCAAAGTCACTTTTTGGTTAAT